ATTAATTATTTTATATAAAAAAAGTTTGTCATAAAAAGTTCTATAATTTTTTGTTTTTGTTATTTTTTATTATAATTATTTTAATAGTTTTACATAATATTGATATTGTTTTTAATAACATAATATAATTTTTAAATAATTTTATAAATTTATTAAATTTTTTTGTTAGTATGAATAGTATGTAGTATGAATAAATAAAAAATTACAAAATTTGTTTATTACATTATAGTGATGATGATTTTCAAATTGCTTTAATAATTCAAATAGTAATGCTGTTTGTTTATATAAAACAATGTTAATTGTTAATGTTTTTGAATTCATATTTCCTATTTAGATTTTAAAAATTTTTTAATGACTAATGGAGAACTTTTACAATAAAAAGTAATTAGTTTAATTTATTTTTTATTTAAATCAACAAACATCATTTTTTGTATAAATTTTTGGTAGTTTTTCTTTTAAATATAACAATCATTTCCTGCTATACTTAATATTTATTTTTTAATTATGACAATAAAATAATTGACAACTTATGTGTGATTGCCTTTATGTTTTAGATTTCTAAGCAAAATGTCATATTCTTTGGTTTCTCTTGTGGAAAAAAACAAAATAGTTGTAGATGCTGTTGTACCTAGTCATTGGATTAAAAATGACAGAGTATTTTGGCCTGAAGGTGCATATGTAGAACGAAGTGCTAAAAACTTGGATGAGTTAGATGAAACCTGGCCTTCATATAAGTTAGTTAAAGTTAAATTTACTGCAGGTAGAATGTTTTACCAGTAAATGATTTTTTAAACTGTTTTGAATAATTAAAGCCATAATTTTGTAGGTAATATACTGTTTAAGATAAATACAGATAATTTATTTTAAAAAGAGTCAGTCTGTATATGGTAATTTAATCTCATTAGATGACTATGAATGGATCAAAGGTGTAGTAATGTCTTCTACTGAATTTGACAGTGATGATGATACAGAAATAAATCAAACAACAGGTAACATCAAACTTATTACTTTTATATAACAGCAACAATATTTTTTAATTATAATTAAAAATTATCATACTGTCTTTGTTATAAAAAATACTTTAATGTATATTACAAATCAAAAATAGCAATACTCTTTGGTATTAAAATAAAATGCATATATTCATTATCCTATGTTTTAATTTTTGACTTACTGATTTAATTTTATTTTATTTAGCAAATAAAAAAATTGATATACCTAAACCTTTTACAAAGTCAATGGAAACTATAAAAAGCAAATCTGGTCAAAAACATTTATTTGAAATTTCTTACTGTACAATAGCATTCATAAATATATATATATATATATATATATATATATATATATATATATATATATATATATATATATATATATATATATATATATATATATACATATATGGATATATATATATATATATATATATATATATATATATATATATACATATATGAATATATATATATATATATATATATATATATAATATATATATATATATATATACCCATATAGTGTCGCTTTAAGAGCATTTTCATGTAAAAAAAGTCTCTTACGACTACAAATTTAATTACCTCGTCTCTTAAGCTGTTTTTGATTGTCATCGAAATGTCAAAGCAATTAATTTATGCGGAAGTACATTAAATTTAATTGTTTTTTTAAAAAACCGCAATTATAACGACTAGAAAGTTTTTTTTAATTAGTGGTGTTTTTGTTATTGATTTAATAAAAAACATTTTTTAAACATGCGTAAATGTTGCTACATCGACTATCTTATAGCCTGACTCGCAACGGAGTGCTGCTACATCGACTGACAAATAGCCTGACTCGCAACGGAGTGCTGCTACATCGACTGAAAAATAGCCTGACTCGCAACGGAGTGCTGCTACATCGACTGACAAATAGCCTGACTTGCAAGGGAATGCTGCTACATCGACTGACAAATAGCCTGACTCGCAAGGGAGTGCTGCTACAACGACTGACAAATAGCCTGACTCGCAAGAGAGTGCTGCTACATCGACTGAGGGTTTGGTTTGGCCAGGCAGTCTACCAATTAAAAAAAAAAATTTAATTTTTAAAACTTTTTCTGGTCTGGTTTATTAACGCGCTCTTTAAAACTACAGTTTATGGGAAATATTTTTTGATGCTATGCAAGAGACATGCAAGAGTATATATATATATATATATATATATATATATATATATATATATATATATATATATATATATATTCATATATATATATATATATATATATATATATATATATATATATATATATATATATATATATATATACATATATATATACATATCCATATATATATATATATATATATATATATATATATATGTATATATGTATATGGATATATATATATATATATATACATATATATATATGTATATATGTATATGGATATATATATATATATATATATATATATATATATATATATATATATATATGTACGTATATATATGTATATATTTATATATATGATATATATTTATATATATGATATATATATGTATATATTTATATATATGAAATAGTTGACCTACCTATTCCTCAAATAAAGTCAATGAAAAGAAAATTAGATCAATCTGCTGGTCAGTATTATATGGTTTTGTTTGCTATTTTCAAGGAGAGTGTAGTGTTGGGGCAATGAATGTATGCCCTGATGTTCCAAGTTTTTTAATATTTATTTTTTTAACTGTTTTTTTAAAGAATTAAATATTATATCAAGTATTACTAACTCTGCTTCCTCAAGCACATCATTGAAGCCTGGAAACACACAAAATTTAGCAGGTAGTTGCAAAAAGATGTATCCTTTACCAGATGCAGGTATATTGTTTGTTGCCATTATTATGTTGCTTGCAATTGCAATATGTTGGTTTGCAATATTAGCTAAATTGTATTTAACTAATGTTTTTTTTTTTTACTTTTCAGAGTTTCAGAGAAAAGTTATGTTTCAACTGGCTGAAATAAAAAACTTGTTGATAAGTAGAACAGCACAGTTTTCTAACGATTCAGAGGAAAACATTAAACAATGTAAAAGTTCAGAGAAACTTCATGTTTTAGAAAAAACAATTGAAGACGGGGATATTCAATACAGTACTTTTGTATGCTTGAATATAATTATTTGATCTTTTATGTTGTCAGTCTTTTTTTTAATTGTCTTAACCAGTTTTGATGTTTATATTGATAGAGATAATATTATCTTATTGGTTTGTAGGTAAATCAGTTATCGTCAATTGGCGGAAGAAATCCAGCTAATACAATAAAAAATATTTTACTGACGTAAGTTACCAGCATTAATTTGTATTTTGAAGCTGAAATAGGTTATATTATTTAGAAGATTTTGATTTGTTTTTATTTTTCCTTTTTTGAATTTTCAGACCTCTAACGGTTTAATGAATATCTAAGATGTATACAACATAAAATTTCTAAACACTGTTAATAATATTTTTGTATACTTAGAGTGACAACAGACAATGTTTTATCAGAATATAGTATGAATGGATTAAAGAAAAAGAAAAAATTTAAAGAGCTAATAAATCTATGTAATGCTATCACCGGTATATACTTTAGCTTATTTTATTCAATTAACTTAGCAAATTGTATTCATTAAATTTTGTTTCAAATTTATTACTTTTTTTTTACTGTTATGCATTTCTAGTCGTTGTGACATTGAATAGCACTGACTTTGTGTTGTTGAATTTTTTTAACTTTATTTAATAGATACTGTTTTAAAGTCTAATAAAAACCTGACTAAAACAGAAGCAATGCAACTTATTGGGAGTGTTATTAAGCATTCATCCGAACGACTAAAGGGATCGATTATCGCTGGTTGAATTCAATTATAAATTAAAATTAAAATTTTTGTAAATTATTTAATTTAAGATATATTATCTATAATACTTTATATTCTTCTTTTTCTTCATGAATGTCTCTATAACTAGATAGAATTAATTGCAATTGTATACGGTAAAAAAAAAAGACGAATTCCTTTAAAGTTTTACTTCAAACAGTTTTTACTTATTTAATTGAAACACAATTTTATTTGTGTCTTTAATTTTTATCTTTATTTATATAATATTAATTGTCTTTAATTATATAATAATTTATGTAAATAAAAATTATTTACAATTTAAATTCATACGTCTTGCAATAAGACGACCTAAGGACGAAAAAAAAAAGATGTGAGTAATAATTACACTTAAGACCACCAGAGACGTCTGTAGGACGAATAAAAATACGTCTTAAGAACGTCTGTATAAAACATCTTTCGGACGTCTGTAAAAGACGTCTTAAAAACGTCTTGTAAAGACGTCCTTAGCACGTCTAATAAAGACGTCCCCAAGCCTTTCATTTAAGACCAACTACGTACGTCTTATGGACGAGACGTAAGACGTCTTATGGACGTCCTTAGCACGTAAAAATGCCCGCTGGGAAATAAGTTGAAAGTAGCATGATATTCTAACAAAAAATAAAATTTTGACAAGCATTAAATTAATGGAAAAAACTAAAAATATGTTAGATAAAAACTGTTTAAAATCTATATACTTTTTTTTAATTCATAGCTATATTAGTTATTTTAATATTGCCTGGGGTAGCCTAATTATCAGGTTCTGAAAAGTTTGTTTAAAAAATACGAATTTCAATGACATACAGAGGGTCACATTTATAGAACTCATTTCTACCAAATAATAGTAAATGTACAATTTCAATTCAAATTTTCAAAATATTTACTTGATATGACGTATTTGAAATTCTTTTTTATTTTTAACTTTCATTTTTATTCTCTTTTATTTTTAACTTTTTTTTTTTTATTTTTTTTTATTTTTATCATTACTTATGTTCAAGAAAATTTTTTTCAATTATAAGTTTTATTGTACTCAACAAGAAAAAAAACTTATTAGAACAAAGACTTAATATTAAAAAAATTTGGCTGAACTTTTTAATAGAAAAACAACATGTATGCAATGTATGTAACCTGTTTTTCATGGCTGATCAAAGAAAGTTTGATGTATTGGCCAAAGATGATGATGTATTTGGCCACTTGCAAGCATCTTTTTGGCTGCCTTACGTGAAGCCACGCTTTTAAAATAACTGGAATCAGCTGATAATAAAATTTTAATATCATTATGGTAATTGCTTATTTACAATATTGTTTTTGCTTGTTTAATTTTAAGTTACACACGTGCAAGATGCTAATGATCTAGACAGCTTTATTTGACTCAAATACTGTTCATTATTTAGTATGGTTTCATTTTTTCTTTATATTTTTTTGACAGTTAAAAAACTGCTTTAGAAATGTTAGAGTTTACATCTAGCGTTGAAACAGCTGTTGATAGTGATGAAGAAAAATTATCTATGCCTCCAGCTTAAAAAGTTGAAGGTTACAAAAATAGTGACACTGATGAGATTGTTCATCAGTTTTTCAGGGATAGAAGAAACCTTTAGTTTTTAAGGGTTAAGTGTTCTCATAACAGCTTTGCTTGACCATCTTTTTCAATTTATTGAGTTTATTGATTTTTTTGTTGGTTAAAGAGGAAAAAAGATCATCTTAACCTGGAAGAAAAATTATGGAACAAAGGCACATTATGAATCATTGATTAT